GAACAGGTCACAGTTAGATATGCACTTGCAATCTTCCTCCAGCCCCACCAAAGGAGAAACACCAGGTATTTTTGCATGGCATTCCAGGGCAGAACACCTCTAACAGTATCACTGCCACAAGGCATTGAGCTTAAAATTCTGATACAAAACACCATAACGCTCTTACCCCATTCTGCCATAAGCTTTGCTGTAGTTTGGATCAATGCCTATAGCTCTTTCGCAGTCTCTCACTGCTCCAGCATAGTTTCCTAGTTTACTGTATGCAGCAGCTCTGGAGGGAACAGAGAAAGATGTACAGGAAACACTTAACAGCTTCAATATGCTGATCAAGGTCACCCCTGTTTAATCTCTGTAGTCTCCTACAGTACAAGGCAAAGTGAAGTGTGAACTTGACATAAATCCAGGTCATATCTAAGCAAGCAGGCTGCTATCCAAACACCCAGCACCACATTCCACTCCTACTGTAAACAAACCTAGGCTTACTTCTTATGGACTTTCCAAGAGGAGCCTGGCCTCCAGAGAGGCATGTACTATCACACTTGCAAGCTCAGATCATCTCTCCCAGCTTCTCTTATGCCTCGATTTCTTAGTCATAACAACTGTTTTACCCATTTCCCCATACACACTCCACGTAAGAGGAGAAAACTCTTTTTGAAGCCATAATGTGCTCATTCAGTCCTCAATCTCACAACTCTCACCAAGGGGCATTTACCCAAAACCTCATGGGACTGACCCACATACAGCTAAAGGCACCAGGTGCACTCCTAGCTCCAGGAAGCACCTCACCACATCACCAACGTATGTGCAGACACATTCTTCACTGTAACCAGCTGTGGAAACGTACTCACAAGAAGCAGGCAGCTAAACCAAATCCTGATTCAAAGCCTGCTTTATTCACCAGCTGCCTTCCCACCAACTTCCAAAACACTTTTGCTTAGAACAGTGCAGGGAATTTGCTTGCATACCCCATTTTACACACACATCAACTTATTCTCAGTAACAAGCCTTCAGCTTGTCTCATTTCACTGCTTTGCTTTTATTATCAACACAGCCTCTGAAACCTGGGCCCTCCATCCCACTTACGAGTTAACTGCATGAAAGCAGACAGTATTTCTTAGCATCCTTATGTCTCCTCAAATGCCTAAGAGTTTGTTTCCAAACTACACAAAGAGCAAGGAACAGAACAAGCAGTCTACAGAATCATAAAAAACACTAAAAAAAAATGGGATTTTAACCATTCAAGACTTAAGTCTACTTAAACCACAGGTTTACAAGGATAGAGAAAGATAATCAGTACCTGTTGCAGAAATACACAGCATTGGATGGATTTAATTCAATTGCTTTTCCATAGAAAGACACTGCAGCTTCGAAGTTTTCTGCTTTCATTTGTTCATTTCCTAAAAAGATAGTGGAAAGGCTCATTAACAAAGGCGGGGGGAAATAGGGTCAAACTGAAGCAACAGGCCTGGATCTATGTTCTGCTTAAGAAAATAGGACAAGAGAAAAACAAACCACTTGCAAATGCTACTGGTCAAACTGCTTTGGCAGCGCAGGGCACATTCAGCAACGAGCTGGGGAGCTGTGTCTTGGCAATTCCAAGTTGCCTGATCCTGCAAGCCCCCCTTACCACCTTCAGCTGTTCTCCCCCCACTTCAGGCCCACCTGAGGCCCCCCCCAGAGCAGCACCACATCCTGAAGAGCACTGCAGTGCATTAGCTCAGAGGACCATCTCCATCAAATTGCAGAACTAACTGTGCTCTCTTGCACAGCAGCAAAAAGGCAACACACACAAGAGAGCTCAACAGGAAAGATGCCTGTCCCACACAGCCAAATGATGTCAACCTACTGCAGCACCAGCAGAGAGACAAGAAATAGAAGGGTTGATCCCATTTGTCTTCCCCCCACCACCACCTTTTCCAAGCATTCCCCAGGTGCCTCAATACCATCTAAACCTCATTATACACCAGCTCCAGAGGAGATTACCTTCAGTCTTGAGTCTTTCAGCCTCAGCTATGTCATCTTCAGAGGGGGTGATGGGCTCCGAGTTTGTTCTGATGTGTTCAGGCTCCTTACAAGCAGAGGGAGAAGGCTTTGCTAGACTCCCACTGAGAAGAACTTACACCTCCCCCTTCCCAAGCGCTGGTTCATCAAGCCCAAAACATTTCCCTCCCACACACCTCTGAGGGGGCAGCATTTCTCCTTGGAGGAATCAAGCAGAGCTCATTGCTTTGGCTGCTTAAATGGAAAACTCAGCACATATTTTAGGGCACTTGCTAACCTTTCCTGCAGCAGCTTCGAATATTTCGGGAAGAGTCTGAGACACAGCTAGGCCTTGGTCTTCCATCGAGACCCCAAATGCTGTCTCCAGGCACTGGATGGCAACTAGACAAGAAGAGTCATGCAATTAGCTTTCCCCACTCCATCTAAATCTTTAACCCTCTCCCACAACAGCTGAATTTCTTACTGTAGAACATACCAGAACCAAGAGATCAAACCACACACCAGGATATCTGGGGCATAGCCTCCAATTTTACCACATCCCACCACCTCCTCCATCAGCTGGAGCCTGGTGGGGAAGCTCTTTCCAGTACAGAGGGGAACTCCAGTGACACAACAGAGCTCTCATGCCATGTTTTATAGTCTAAAAGCACAGGAACAAACCCTTCTCTCCAGCCAACACCCTCCTTTGCTCCTGCCTCACCCAGGAATGCACCCACCACTCTGCAGACATGCCTGTGCTCTCCTTTAGTGGGACAAATGTACAAAGCCAAAGACCAAAGCATAAGCTCCTTAAGCAGCTCTTTTAAGATCAGTGCACTCTTGTTACCAGTAAAGCCCTCTGTAAAAAAAACCTGTGTAAGTACTCCAGGGTGTGCTGTGGGAAAGCATCGTGATAGCAAAGGGGAAAAGCCCTCTGCAAGCATGAAACACCTGTGAACAACAGCATTGTGATTTTACACTTCACTACAACCCTCCTGACTCTACCTCATTTAAGGTAAAACTTGTAAGTCCCAAAGCCAGGGTCAGAGAGGTTTTTAATCTCAGGTATATCCCTTCCTCCAACTAATCTGATTTTGAAAGAGATGAGGAAATCAGATGAGCAATCAGCATTCCTCATACTTCCACAAGAAGACAAATTCAGTTCCAACCTTGATCAAGGTTTGATGCTAGGCACAACAAGGAAGGGGCAGAAGAGAGTAACAGTGTCTAAGCGTTGGGCTGACAGACCTGGATGCATGAACAGGGAAGCACATAAAGCCACCTACCTTCCAAACTCTCCTGAGCATCTGGAGACAGCCCCCCATTCTGTAGTTGGTCATGTAGGAACTGGATGATGGAGTAGGCAAGGCGCTTCTGGTCTGCCATTCCTGCAGCTCGCTCCAACTTCTTGGAACTTTAACGAAAACAGCCACAGAGAGAAAACTTATAGGGCTTGATAGACGAGAAAGCAAAGAACTTTACTGCTGTTCTCTCCCAGTATGAATGTAAGGATAAAGGAGTTGCTCAGGACCGGCCGAGGCTTCCAGGACCTTCGCTGAACTCAGTGCTGTAAAAACAACCCCATTTCCATGAATTCTCCAGGCCTCAAACCACCCTCTTCAGCTCAAGCAGCACAGCACAATAGTGCCATGCAAGGCTCCTGCCAAGAAGAATACACCAAAGGTGTTGCAGGCATTCAGGCCACCAAAACAGCTCTGACTGACTAGGAGCAGACAAACTGGGCACTGAGGCACTCACACCTAAGAAACCAGAGTCCTCTGCTTCCAGAGCATGATCTGGTTCTGAAACCAAACCAAAGGCTGAAGCTGTCTGCCACTGTTAGCAGAGCTGGGACTCAGGGTGCCAATCCTCTGCACTGCTCCCCAGCCTGCCCTACCAGCACATGGATAGTAGAGGAGCTAAAGCAAAACAACCCCCATAAGCAGACCCAGAGATCCCAAGGCAGGTCCTGTAAGTGCACCAGCCCCAGCTCCTTGAACAGCACTGCTGCTGAGCTGAAGCACTTCACCCCTCCAGAACGCTCCACTGCGTTTAGAGACCCCAAACCCCTTCAAGGGGATTCGTTATGGAAATTACGTTGTTTAAATGCAAACTCTGTGCAAGAGACACCAGCAGAGCTCAGCCGGCCCCAGCCCACCGACAGACACCAGCCATACACCCAGTCACAGCCACAGGTACCGCTGCCTGTGCGGGGCCCATGGCCCCAGCGACAAACGAGGCCAGAGCCTCACAGCCCCTTCCGGACCCCAGAGCGGGGACGAGGGAGACCCTTCCCCTGCCCCGTACCCCGAGGCCCTGCCCGCAGCACCCACCGCCGCCCCGGGCCGGCCTGAGGGGCGCGGCAGGCCCGAGGGGAGGAGACGTGAGGGCAGCGCTGCTCACGGCTCCCATAACGGAACGGAACGCACCCGCACCGCGGGGGGGACACCGCGCCAGAGCCCCGGGCCCCACCGCAAACCGGACCCCGGTCCGGTCACTGCCCCACGGGGGCCGGGATCCAAGCGGCGCCTCAGCGGGAAGCGCGGCCCGGCCCCCCCCGCCCCGCTCACCCAACGCCCCAACACTCGCCTCGGCCGGGGCGGGCTCAGCACTGCGCATGCGCTGCTCCCCGCCCTCCGCGCCTGCGCAGTGCTCCAGCCTGCCCCCTCCCCCCCCCCGGCTCTGCTCCAGCAGGAGGCCACAGCGCATGCGCGGGGCCGGAGGTTTCTGGTCGCTCCTCGTGGGTTTGAACCACCGAGAGGAGCCGTTGCTATGGCAACGGGCGGGCGGGAGCACCGGGCCCCGCTCCTGCTCCCGGGCCCGTGGCTCTGCCCCGCAGCCGCCGAGGGTGAGGGTAGGGGTCGGAACGGGGCTCTACGTCCGCGGGACGTCTAAGGGCCCGGATACGGTGAGGGGAAGGGGAGATCGGGGCTGAGTCCTCCACTCTCCCAGAATCCCTCTGCGCGGCCGCTCTCTCTGCCCGCCTCTATGGTTGGGGCACATGCTCCGTGCACGGTTCTCTCCCGGCCTCGTCCGCAGCGCGGCGCCTCCCGGCATGGCGCCCCCAGCAGGTACCGGCGGCGGGACGGGGCTCCGGGCCACCGGGGGCAGGTGGTGAAGGAGTGGGGCGGAGGAAAGCGAGATGGGGCAGGAGGAAGGAGCCGGGGCTCTGTGTCCCGTCCGTCCTCCCCCCCAAGGGTTGCCATAGGGAGCCCCTGGTCTTCTTCCCCCCCCCCCCCCGCTATCACCTCTTTGCCCTACAGCTCCGGTCCCGGGCAGAGGCGCCTGCCATGGGCACGGCGGGGAATCGGGTTTCTGTGGAGGGCTGGTGGTGCCTGAGGGGGTAAACAGCGCCCGGAGCGTAACCCGGCCGCCGCTTGCCGCTAGCGCCCGCGTTCCTTCGCAGCCTGGCTGTCCATCGGCGTGGTTTGTTTGCTGGGCCTCTCCTTTAAGTGCTTTTATGGATCCTTCGCTCTGCAGCTGCGTTTTTGCTTCCAGCCTGCGTAAAGGCTGCGGCTCGCAGAGCGTTTTCTCCCCTCCTGTCTCCAGGTAACGTTGTGGATAGCCAGTCCCCCAGGCTGCTAGCAAACCAGCTAAGATGGGACCTGACGGCCGAACAGATCGAAACCATGGCTGCAGATCTGACAGAGAGGACCAAGGTTGTGTACGACCGGGTGGGCTCCCAGGAGCAGGGTGAGGTGTCCTATGAAAACACCCTCAAGGCCCTGGCAGATGTGGAAGTTGAATATACAGGTATGTACATGGAGAAGGAGGCCTGGGGATGTGGAAATCCACATCTCACGAAGGCTTTTTGGTTTTTTGTTTTTTCCCTCTGGACTTTTACCTCCTTTTTCCTTCCCTTGGCTCCCTCAGCAGTCTGGTTGTTTTTTTTTCCAGTTAGTTTACACAGCTTAGGTATGAGTACAAAGAATAGAGATTTGGCATAGGAGCAGGTCTAAAATGAGGACAGTGCTTTGGCAGCAGCCTGGTCTGTGGCGGGAGTAGCCAGGTTGTCTCTTGCTTTTAAGGTGCATTAGTGGGAACAAATCGTGTGTTGGCAGAAATGGTTCAGATGATCGAAGAAATCTTCAGCTCTTTGCTAACATTTTCTTTAAGGCAGCAGATAAATATCTCTCTGTGTGCCTTGTTCAAACACTTCCATCATTTTAGGGCTTCTGTGCGGAGCAGAAGCCAGCTTGCAGGCCTTTTCTTTCTTCCCTCTGATTTCTTCCTAAAAGAAAAGGAAAAGCCCTTACTAAGGAGGGGTAATGTGAACTTCAGCCGAACCATCAGCACTTTAACTGGGCAGCAGAGAGTAGCTGCCTGCTCCCTTTCTGCTGGGTGGAGAGTCCTCATGCCTGGGGGGCAGCACCTTCCCACTGCAGTTGTGTTAGTTCAGAGATGGTGGCAGCTTGTTTTCACTTCTAAACTGGAAACACTTGAGGCCAGAGCACACCTGGGATGTGGTGGCTTTTGAGGAGTGTCTGCAATAAAGGTGTGCCACTTTTAGCCTGGTCTTATAAGGAGAGGAGTCATACAATGATGCTGCCCCGTGTCTGCCAGCACAGAAATCCTGTGGTTCTTTTTGATACCAGCTATAAAAGAGGAAAAGAGTTTGGGAACTCACAGGCATGAAATCCATGAGGGGTTTGTGAGAAAGAGGGATTGTGGAGGGAAATCAGTGGATGGCAGTGGGGAAGGGTGACAGGGTGCTGTGAGTGACAGTGTGCTGCTTGCAGAGGACAGCGCTGGGTTTGTCTGATGGCAGCCGCTTGCCTCACTCTTCCCTTGTGTGGGCAGGCAGGTCAGGCTCCGGGGCTGTCAAACTGGCTCCCAGTTAACACAGGCTCTCTGTGTGTGTACACTCCCACTCACGAGCAGCTCTGGGACATGAAGCTGTTGCCTTTACCAGTCCCTCTTCTCTCGTGCAGTCCGTCGGAACATGCTGGACTTCCCCCAGCACGTCTCTCCTTGCAAAGACATCCGTGCAGCGAGCACCGAGGCTGACAAGAAGCTCTCAGAGTTTGACGTGGAGATGAGCATGAGGCAGGATGTGTACCAGAGGATTGTTTGGCTCCAGGTCAGTGATGTGCACTGAAAGCTCCTGGAATTACAACAACCCCTTTTTCCTCATCCCAGAACTTACAAGTGAATGATGGCGAGTCAGGTCTGGAACTGAATCGCTGATGTGATCACGGCAGAATGGTCCAGCTGGTTTTGGGAACTGGAAACTTGGGCTTTGAGGGCTCTTCCTTCCCTCAGAACCTCAGTTACCCCTTTGATAAGGTGGTGTTAGTAAACCCAGCCTGCCTTCTATGGTGACAGGGCAGGGTAATGCCCTGGAACGTGCTGTACTATGGCATAAAGGTGATGTGCTTAAAGCAGTCTGGTAGTAGCTAACGCACCAAACCAAAGCCCTCTTGTGGGGTGTTTCCATCTGCTTCTGGGTCACTGGTGTTACAATAACCCCCACCTCCGACCAGGAACTGGCTTTATGCAACACCTGATCCCTGTGCCTCTGGGTTTTGTTTTACAGGAGAAAGCAGAGAGTGCTTCACTGAAGCCTGAAGCAAAGAGATATCTCGAGAGGTTGATCAAACTGGGTAAAAGAAACGGTCTCCATCTCCCTGAGGAAACGCAGGAGGTGAGATCACAGAGCTTAAAGTAAGCATGGGAGCCTTGCAGGGCTAAGAGGACACTGTAGTGCTAGAGTAGAGGACTGAGGCTTAGACTCAAGTTTTGCCCCCCAATTCCCATGACTTTGGGCACACTGGTGATGCTTCTATGCCTCTCTTTTTCCTTTCCTCTAAAGGGGATGACATTTACAAAGTGGGGTCAACACTGGAAGTTGAGGGGCTCCTGAGAAGCTGAAATTGCAGATGGTGCTGTGCAGGTCAAATGGAAGCAGCACCTGCATGCAAAGGGGTGATCAGGCGAGGGGGGCTGAGCTGCTCAGCATCTCCCTCTTTTAGCATGCACTGGTGGCTCAGTGAAGGAGCTTGAAGCTGGATTCAAAATAGATGAAGTGAAATGAAGGTAGGGGAGGTTGTTGCTTAAACACCTGCACCTCCTGCACTGGCAGGAGACTGTCAGGACCTTGCTGAGGTGGCTGCTTTCCTACCAGGTGTGATCCAAGGGAGCCTGTACTAAGCTGGGAGCTCAGCACCTTCATGCAGTTAATTCTGCTGCGTTGTCTTTGAGTTCAAGCCAAGTACAGACTCACTGCTGGGCAGCTCAGCAGGCTGCTGCCTGCAGACAGTGGATGGTGCTGTTTGACTTCTCCCTTTGGACTAAACTTTTCTCTGTTCATCTGTATTTTAAAGAAAATCAAAGCTATTAAGAAAAAGCTGAGCGTCCTTTGCATAGACTTCAACAAGAACCTCAATGAAGACACCACCTACTTACCCTTCTCAAAGGAAGAACTAGGTATGGAGCACTCAGGCTTATTTCTCTACTACTGTGGCCTTGAGTGCCTGGATTCCTCTGGCTAAGGAGCAAGAGCTTGTTCCTGTCCCCAGTCCCAGAGCTGGTATTTCTGGAGAGGCCTGGGCTCTCCATCAGTCTTGTCTGCTCTTCTCAGGAGGGCTCCCTGAGGACTTCCTGAACTCCCTGGAGAAAACAGAGGATGGCAAGCTGAAAGTCACCTTGAAATACCCACACTATTTCCCTCTCCTGAAGAAGTGCTACGTGCCCGAGACAAGGAGGAAGGTGGAGGAAATGTTCAACTCCAGGTGCAAGGAGGTAGGCAGACACTAAAGGGGTCTTGTCTGACATTTGTGCTTCTTTCAACGCTGGGGCTCGTGCTTCACTTTACCCTCTCTGACTCTACCCTGCAGGAGAATTGCTTGATCCTCAAGGAGCTGGTGGATTTGCGGGCTCAGAAAGCCAGTCTGCTGGGCTTCAACACGCACGCAGACTTTGTGCTGGAGATGAACATGGCTAAAAGCAGCAAGATAGTGGCTTCGTTCCTGGGTACGGCACTGGGCTGTGGAGCCAAGAGCTGGGCCGTGTGTTGAGCCAGCTCTGCTGCTCTCAGCCCTGGGCACTAACCCTGCCTGCCTTGGTTTTCCTAGATGAGCTGGCTCAGAAGCTGAAACCCCTTGGGGAGAAGGAGCGGGCTGTGATCCTGGACCTGAAAAAGAAGGAGTGTGAGAAGCGCGGCCTGGAGTTTGACAACCGCATCAATGCCTGGGACATGCGCTATTACATGAACCAGGTGGAGGAGACCAAGTACAGTGTGGACCAGAATCTGCTGAAGGAGTACTTCCCCATGCAGGTGGTCACCACAGGCCTGCTGGCCATTTACCAGGAGCTGCTGGGCCTCACCTTCCATCTGGAAGAGAAAGCTCAGGTCTGGCATGAAGACGTCCAGCTCTACACGGTGAAAGATGCCTCCTCTGGGGAGATCATTGGCAAATTCTACCTGGACCTGTACCCAAGGTGAGGCCTTGGGCAAGGTGGGGCAAGAGAGGAGGGATAGGGCATGGGGAAGAGGGCCTGCCATGCACTTGGGGAAGAGGCTGACCCACTGCCAGACGTGGGGCCGTGCGGTGGGAGTGGAGTCTGCTCAGGCAGGGCAGAGCAGGGGGTCACCAGGGAGCTTTTGCTCTGAGCAGGATGGTGGTGGTTCATGGATGGCCTTGGGGGTGATCTGTGTAACAGTCTCCTCTTCCTGCCCTAGGGAAGGCAAATACGGGCACGCAGCCTGCTTCGGCCTGCAGCCAGGCTGCCTCCTGCCAGACTCCAGCCGGCAGATCTCAGTGGCTGCCATGGTGGCTAATTTCACCAAGCCCACACCGGATGCACCTTCCCTGCTGCAGCACGATGAAGTGGAGACATATTTCCATGAGTTCGGGCATGTCATGCACCAGCTGTGCTCTCAGGTGAGGCCTGGCTGGGCTGGCAGAGGGGCTGGTTTGTTGCCTTTTCCCCTGTCATGCTCTCTGGAGGGGGTTAAATGACATCCCGCTCAGCTTGCTGCGTCTCCTAGGCGGAGTTTGCCATGTTCAGTGGGACACATGTGGAGCGGGACTTTGTTGAGGCACCATCACAGATGCTGGAGAACTGGGTGTGGGAGAAGGAGCCGCTGCTGCGCATGTCCAGGCACTACAAAACTGGAAGCCCCATCCCTGACGAGCTGCTGGAGAAGCTCATTAAATCCCGGCAGGCAAACACAGGTTGGTCCCTGCAGAGGGGCTGAAGGGAACAAGGGTCCTGTGCTGTCCCCAGCAAGGGCAGAGCCTTGCTGTGGTGTTTCCTTGAGTGTGGGGTGGAGGAGACTCTTAGTGAGCTGGCCAGGTAGAGGAAAGGCTTTGATTTGCTCACCGTGATGCCCTGGGGACCTAAGGGGTGGGTGCTGCTGAACCAGGATGGGGGAGAGGGGTCAGAAGTCGGGTGTGAGCAGAACTATGGGAGGCCCCCAGCCTGCACTGCTGAGACCCAGCCTTGGAGATGCTCCTGCCTGCAGGAAGCAGCTCATTTTGCCTCCTCCTTCTGGAAACAGGGCTCTTCAACTTGCGTCAGATCGTGCTGGCCAAGGTGGACCAGGCACTGCACACCCAGACGAAGGCTGACCCGGTGGAGGTGTTTGCTGGTCTATGTGAAGAGGTGCTGGGCGTCCCTGCTACCCCAGGTACACAAGGGCTTGGGGTTCTGTAATCCATGCCCACCTGCAAGCTTGGCTCATCAGGTTTTCAAGGCTTGGGCTTCAGGCTGGCTCAGTAGAGGCAGCTTCTGCTGGCTCCAGGAAAAGCAGGGCTGAAACGATACAAAAATAGCTGGAGAGTTCTTCCCTGTTTCCTCTGGGATTGTCAGCAAGCTGACCCAGTGTCTGCTCTGACATATTTACACTATGGATGGGGTTTTCCATGCTGTGAGCAGTTCCAGGAGCCTTTCCTGTTAACTCCCCTTCCCATCCTTTGCACAAAGGTACAAACATGCCTGCTACGTTTGGCCACCTGGCCGGAGGCTACGATGCCCAGTACTACGGCTACCTCTGGAGTGAAGTGTACTCCATGGATATGTTCCACACACGCTTCAAGCAGGAGGGGATCATGAACTGTAAGGTAGGAGGATGTCCCACACAGGCAACCAGTGTGGTCGAGGGAGGTGGCAGCATCAGCGGGTGTCTTAACACATCCCCCTGTCTCTCTCTGCTTGCAGGTGGGTATGGATTACAGGAATTGCATCCTGCATCCTGGCGGTTCCCTGGATGCTTCTGACATGTTGAAGAAGTTCCTGGGCCGTGAGCCTAAGCAGGATGCCTTCCTGGCCAGCAAAGGACTGAAGGTAGAGAGCAACTCGCTGCCTTCAGCCTGCTGAGAAGCTGCTCCAGCCTGTTTTGAGTCAAGCCAGCTCCTTTTGTCTACACTCCAGTCCTCTCAGGCCAAGCAATACCCCCTACTTCTGTCACCAAATGCATCCTGGGGCAGCCCCTACCTGGAGCTGTTCCTCCAGGATCCTGCTCCAAGCTCACCCTGGCCTTCAGGAGCCAGGTTCAGCCCTGCAGAGCTGTCACAGGGCTCTGCAGTGGCAGCTCTGCCAAGGGAGCTGAGCTGCCTTTGTCACACACACCTCAGCACAAAGGGGTTGGGGCTGGCATTAGCCACACGAATTGGCTGAACTTCAAACCTGATTTCTGCACCAGGGTGAGTTTTGGCCTCGTTTGTAGCCAGGGAGGAGGGCGAGAGCAGTTACCAAGCTTGAGTCATTGTTCTAATCCCTTCTTTTTAAGGAATGAGACTTCCCACCAGGCTTGGCTTGTTTTGTGCCGTGGGGCAGACTTAACTGTTCCGAGCACCAAACAAGTGGTCTGAGGAGCTGGTTGGGAGCCACGTTCTCCCTGTCTTAGGGCAGCTGTGGAATAAAGATGGGCAGATCCCAGATCCCATTGCAATTACTGGAATGTCCAGCCCTGAATCCCTCAGGCACCCCTGTCTGGGCAGCAGGCCTGGGAGGGGGGCAGAGGTGCCCAGTGCAGCTATTCCCAGAGCAATAGTGGATCTGGGGAGCATGGCCTGGGCCTCACATGCTGCCAGGCTTCCCCTGGGCTATACTGGAGGTGCTGGGACTCTGTGCCAGGGGCCAGCTTCAGGGTGTGTTGGTGTCCTATGAGCCAGGGTGGGACAGGGCAGGGCTGTGTTTAAAGCAAGAGGAGCTGACAGCTTCAACCAACACAGATGCCAGGATAAAAATACCCTGTGGCTTTGTGCCAGGCGCCGAGCTGGGGGCCAGCAGCAGCCCTTTGCCCGGCCTTGGGAGCAGCCACGCTCTGCTTCCCCCAGCTCTTCCCCTGTCCCCAGGAACCCTGAAACCGGTGCCCATGTGGTGTGGGGATGCACAGCATCGTGTGCCCCCCTCTGCCATGCTGTACTCCTAGCCCAAGCAGGCAGGAGGGCAGCTCAGCTCTGACTGTGGGAGGGGGGAGCACTGCCCCCAAGGTCAAAACCTGATTTCTGGGTTTGCTCCTATAGGAATCACGCATGGGCTGGGGAAGGTTTTTAGTAGTGAGTGTGCAGGGTAGGTGGAAGGTAGTGGGGGGAGCTGTGAGCTCCTACTGGCCTGAGGGATGTGTGCTGATGGTCCTGGAGAGCAGATCTCAGTCTCTGGTGTCCTACCCCACCTCCAGCCTTGGGTGATGCCGTATGAGGGCTGCAGGATTGGTCTGGCACAGGGAGGGTGCTGAGTGCTGCGCTTGCACCCACCATCCCAGCCAGGGCTGTGCATGGGTCCCCCCCACCCGGGGTCTTGTGCTGCATCTCCCCCCCCCAACCAGGCTGTTCTTTTGCTTCTCCTCTTGTCTGGGCTGTCACTGAGCAGCTCCTGTTCGTTCCCCGCAGTGACTGACAGCGTAGGAAGAAACTCACCCCAAGTGCAGACAAAGTTGTTGCTGTCACCTCCCCTCCCTGCCCCACACCCCCTGGTGACACCCTCCCTCACCAGTCCCCTCTTGCGCTGATGTGGACAGGTCTGGAAGCAGCAAACCGGCTCCTTGGTGCTTGCTGGCGCCACGCTGAGCATCTTGTCTTTGTCCCCACCCTCTGTTTTAGGCATAGGCGAGCGTCTGTGACGGGGGCCGCTCGAGTTAATGCTGTGGGTGTTTCGGTGTCACGTTTTCCCAAGCTTTCAGTGTTTTCTTTCAGACCTCTTGAGGGAGAGAGCTGAAGCTGGGCAGGGAAGCCACACACTTTCCTCCCTCCTTCCTGGGCCTCAAATAACTCAGTTCCTCCTTCCAGTAAGCCTTGCTGTTGGTGCAGTTAGAGGTGTTGCAGGAGCCCGCAGCCAGGCAGAGCAAGGGGATGTGATGCTGCTCCTAGCGTTCCCTCTGCATGGGTGATCCCCAGGCACCAGGAGCTGCTCCTTCTCCCTCCCCAGCTCTTTGTCCCTATCCCATTGCAGGGAAGAGAGGTCTCGTTCAGGTTTGGTTCTTTCATTTCTTTTTGTTAACCTGTTCTAAGGGCAGACTGGGGTGCGTGTGTGTGTGTGCGCGCCGTCCGTAATGGTCACATCCCACCCTGCTTGTGTCAATGACTGGATTTTAGACAGTTCCTAACACTAATAAAGGTTTTCCTAAGCGGGTGTTTGCATGGCTCATGTCCTGCTCCTTCGTGGTGGCGAGGCAGCGGTGTTCCAGGGTGGCAGCGCCGTGCTCCCCGTGCTCCCTGGTGCTCCTGGCACAGCCGCTGCCGCAGCCTGCATGGCAGGGCCTGTGCCAGGAAGATGGGCACCGAGTGGCAGGCGCGGGGTGGCAGCCTCTGGGGTGTGAAGCCCTGGGGAGCGAGAGGCAGTGACCCCCTGGCCCATCCCCACCGTGGCCATGCCCTGCACCGGCCCCACACCTGGGTGAAGAAGCCGTGGTCCAGCACATCCTGCAGGCTGGGCCGTGCTGCGGGCTCGGGGGCCAGCAGGTGGGCGATGAGAGCCTGGGCATGGGCTGAGAGCCGGCTCGGCTGCGGGTACCGGGCAGCCCGGATGTGGCAGTAGAGCTCCTGCCGCTGAGCCGCCTCAAACGGGGGGCTCCCTGTCAGCGCCATGTACCTGGGGGGGGGGGGGTCAGGGTGCTCAATGCAGCCGGGAGCACCCATCACCCCGCCCTCCAGGTCCCTGCTTACATGGCACAGCCCAGGGCCCACACATCCGCGGGCACCCCGTGTCCCTTGCGGTCCAACACCTCCGGGGCCAGGAAGCTGGGTGTCCCACAGAGCGCCCTGGGGAGCAAGCAAGGTAAACCCCAGCCTGGCAGTGACCCCCCCTACCTGCCCCAGCAGCACCATGGCCCCGCTCACCCCCAGCGTTGACCAGCCGGAGCCTTCAGCCGTGCCAGCCCCAGGTCCCCGATCTTCACCTGCATCTTCTTGGTCACCAAGAAGTTGCCTGCAGAGGGAGGTGAGCCTGGGTAAGCGCAGGTGTGGGTCTCCCTCTTGCCCCCCCCCAGCGCTGCCCCACACACTCAGCTTGAGGTCCCGGTGGACGATGCCCTGTCCGTGGAGGTAGCGCAGCCCTGAGATGACCTGCAGCAGGTAGTATCTCACCTCCGGCTCCGTCAGCCTCCCCCGGGCCCACAGGATGTCAGCGAGGGACTGGGGACGGACCAAGGTGCCAGTGTGGGGCCTGGTAAAGCCCTGACATGGGGATGCTCTGTTTTGGGGTGCTGGTGCTTGCTCACCCTCCGGCTGCAGTACTCCAGCAGCAGGTAGACGTGGCGCTGGTCAGAGAAGTGCCCATGGAGGCAGACAATGTGCCGGTGGTGCAGGCGGCCGTGCAGCTCCTGCTCCCGCTCCACCTGCATTGGCAGGAGCCCAGCAGCCCCCCGGGGAGCCTCTGGATCCGGGATGGATCCCCCACACGCATCCTTGGGAAATGGGGATGGGGACCCACCGAGCAACAGGGACCAAGGGAGAAGGGGCAAGGGCAGGGCTGTGGGGCTCTGCAGGACATTCTGTCCCCCCTCCTTGGACTCACCCTCTCTCTGACACCCACTGCAGCGAGATGGGCTCGCGGGATGACCTTAGCTGCATACACCCTGCCGCTGGCCACTTCCGTCAGCTGGTAGCAGCACCCAAAGGCGCCCTGCAAGGACAGGAGTGAGCAGCTCAGCACCCCGGGGCAAGCCAAGGCAGAAGCAATGCAGACTCCAGGCAATGGCTTGATCGCAGCATCTCCACGCTGCCTCAGTTCCCCCTTCCCCAGAGGGGAGCTGATGGGTCCCCCTCGGAGCAGGACATCCTGGGGATGACCCTGACCACAAGATGTAGGGGGTCTGGCCAGGGTAAGGGGCTGTCTCGGGGTGCAGGGGCAGGGCTGGAGCAGGGCTGACAAGGGATTTACCTCTCCCAGGAGCCGTCCCCGCTTGTAGAGCATCCCGCTGCCGGCATCCTCAATGCACCATCCAGGGAGCTCATTCCCTGCGCACCCCGAAGCCATCATCCAGCTCACTTTGCTCTGCCTTGCAGTGGGGAAACCCCAAGGGACTTCCGCACCCCAGCACTGTAACCCCTTCGGCTCTGGGCTGCGGGTGCCTGGGGCTGCCCTTGCTGCCCAAAGGGCGCTGGGGGGGGGACGATGACACCCAGCACCCCGAGCTCTGCCAGCCCCCCCCCGCACAGCCCAGCAGATCCTGCTGCATCTACGGAGCGCTAAGCAGGGACCCCCGGTGGGTTCCAAACCCCTCCCGGGGATGCTCAGAATCAGGGGCTATTCGGAGGGTCCCCGATCAGGATGAGGCCGGGGGCAAGCTCCCATCTGCCCCTTCCCCTCTGCAGCTGAGGGTGGTGACATCCCTTGGGGGAGCAGAGGGTACAGAGGAGCATCCGCACCCCCCGAGACCCCACCAGCCCCCCTCGACCGCCGCAGCTCCGGGCCTCGAAGGGTTAACGGGCGGCTGGGGAGGGCTCGGCGCACCTTTTGGGGCTGGATATTAATAACGCAGCAGGGAGGGACGGGAGGAGAACGGGGCGGGGGGGAAGCCTCGCCCGCCACCCCCCCCACACCCCCCCGTTCCCCGGAGCTGCGCAGGCGATGCCCGATCGTCCCGGGTCCCCCCTCCCTGCCTCCGGAACGGGACCGAGCGCCGGGACGCCCCGGACGAGGGGCGGCATGGCCGGGCGGGGCTATCGGGGACTCCGCGGTGCCGGGTAAGGTCCCGATTCCTGCTTCACCCCTCGTGGACCCCCAAGGGAACCCCCACACCTCCCTCCCCGCCCAGCCCTGGGTCAGCTCCGCTCCGGTGGGGAAACTGAGGCACTCGGAGCCTCCCGGCCACTGCCGGGGGCTGGACATCACCCGGACATCGCCTCGGGGCGGCGGCACCGTGAACCCCCGATCCCTGCCCTGCCGGGGGGGGGGGGGAGGACCCAGAGAGCGGAATTCCCGGGAAGGGAGGAAACGGGCGCAGCCGGCACCCCCCGCACCCCTGCGCTGGGCGGGTTGGGGGTGCTCCAGGGCAAGGCGCTTTGGGGTGCGGGGGGGGGGGAGGCAGCGCTGCCCTCCCCCGGTGCTCTCCCCACGGCGGGGCCGGATCCGGATCAGGGAGCGCGGAGCCCCGGCCCCGCCGCGCAGGTCTGGTCCTGTCCCGGCTCCGCCGTTCCCGTCGTCACGCGGGGCACGTGTGCGGGACGCGGCGCTGCTCCCCCGGTCCCGCATGGGCCCTCCCGCTGGGTCTGCTCCGGTCTTGCCGCATCCTTTCCCCTCGCTGGGGTCCCCCTTGGTGGTGGTGGTGGGGGACGGGACACGCATGGGGGTGCCCCCTCTCCGCTGCGCTGGTCCCGGGGCGCGGTGGGCTCAGGCTCTCCCTGGCGCTCCCGCAGATGCTGGTGGCTGCTGCTCCTGGCCTGGCTCAGCGGCCTCGGCACGGCGCAGGTGAGGGGCGAGGGGTGCTCGGCAGCAGCCCCCAGGCCGCTCGATCCCGGCCCCGGCGCTGATTCCTTCCTCCGCGCAGAGCCCAGCCCTGGGGATGCCGGCGCAGGTCTTCAAGCCCCCAGCCCCTGCTTGGTCCCGCTGGCAGCTGGACCCCGGTGCCTGGGGGCCCTGGGGACCCTGGAGCTCCTGCTCCAGCTCCTGCGGGGACGGAGTCGCCCTCCGTACTCGGAGGTGCCTGCGGTGAGTGCGGGACGGGGCAGCGCGGTCCCTCCGGGGCATCCCTCGCAGCAGCCAACCCCGCAGGGCGCCCAAACCCCGCGGCATGGCTCCGCCGCTGCCCCGCACACGTCCTGGCCAAATCCGAGCCTGATTCTGGAGGGGGCGGGCGGAGCCAGACCCCGGTGCCTCCTTCCTGGTGCCGCTCCGGGAGGATGCGGCTCCATGCGGGATGTCGTGGTCCCTGCTCCTGCTCCCCCATGGGGACGCGTCCCTCCCGGTCCCGCTGTGGCTCAGCGGCATCCTGGCTCCCGGAGGAAGGGAGGGGGGCCCGGATGGGGACGCAGGGTGCAGCGGGGCTGCTCGGGGAGCCCGGGCCCGGGCCCTGCCTTGCTGATGCTGTGGCCGCAGATCCAGCGAGGAGGAGCCGTGCACGGGCGACCCGCGGCAGTACCGGCTCTGCCAGCTCCAGGTGAGCGTTGTGAGGGCTGCGCACCGGCATGGCCAGCCCCAGTCCTGGTCCGGTGGGGCTCCATCCTGCCGTTCCCATAGGGCTGCCCCAGCGGCTCGGTGCCCTTCCGTGCCATGCAGTGCTCTCTCTACGACAACAAGCCCATCCTGGGCACATCAGCCCGGTACCAGTGGGTGCCCTTCCATGGAGGTGAGTCCCGGGGCTGGGCGGCAGTATCACCAGGTTGACAAGGGGCCACGGCTGCCATCAGCATCACCCTCTCCTCTTCCCACCCTCCTCCATCAGCCCCCAACGTCTGTGACCTGAACTGCTTGGCTGTGGGGCACAACTTCTACTACACCTTCGGCCGGGTGCTGGATGGCACCCGCTGCGGCCCCGGCTCTCCGGACCTCTGTGTCAGCGGGCGCTGCCTGGTGGGTTCATGGGGCCAGGACCCCTGGGGACCCCCAGCCCTGAGCCCTCCTCCTTGAGGCCGTGTCTCGGCTGCTTGCAGAGTGTGGGCTGCGATGGGATCCTGGGCTCGGGCGTGCGGCCGGATACCTGCGGGCCGTGCAGCAGTGGCCGTGACGCGTGTCTCTTCGTGCACCGGCTCTTCCAGGGCGAGGACACCTCCTCCGGTGAATGAACCATTGCCCCGGCCCCCTCCATGGGTGAATGCTTTGGTTCTTGGCTCCCCTGTCCTCCTGTCCCCTGCCTGTGTCCCCAGGGCATTGCCTGGGTCCCGTCACCCCCATCCCCTCTCCATCTCCCCAGTCACCATGGGTGCATTGTTCCCAATCCCTTCCTGTCCCTGACATGTGGGCACAGGGCAGTTGGCTCCAAGGAGACCCCTTACTGGGGTGATTTTGCCTCATTGCAGGGGGTATCGCTCCTCTGGGGCAGATCTTTGGGGCACCTCTGTGGTCCATGGGGTCCCCAGGGATGTTCAGGGGTCCCAGGCAGCACCCAGGATCCATGTGTCCATCTCCCAGGTTCATGGGGTGCCTGGCCAGGCCGTGGGGATGATGATGCCCATGAGGGCAGACAGCCCCATGTGGCACCTTGGCTCCTCCAGGGCCATTGCTGGGTGCCCCAGATGTCCCAGCATGTGAGGCCCAACTGGGTTGATGCTGCTGGTGCCTGGGACAGGGTTGGGGCTGCCTGAGTCCCAGAGCTGCTCTGTGCCCAGTCCCCTCCTGCCCCATCCCTGGGCTGTCCCCTCAGGCCATGCCCCAGCTCTGCCCTGACTCTGCCCCATCTGCCCAGGTTATTTTGGGTACATGAATGTGACCAGGATCCCAGCTGGGGCCAGCCACATCAAGGTGACGGACAAGAGCCGCAACTACCTCGGTAGGACGCATCCTGTCTTTGTCCCAGTCCGTCCCAGTCAGCCCTAGTTGGTGCTACCCATGGGTGCAGTGAAGGCAGGGCAGGGGGTGGCCGCTCTGTGCCGTTCCCTGCGGTTCCCCCACTCAGATGCAGGTTCAATGGACATTCCAATGAACACTTGGGGCAGTCTTCCAGAGGCTGAGCTGGAGCAGGGCCAGGACTGGGATCCCCAGACCCCCTGGTCCGCCCCCCTCAGTGCAGTTGGGTCCCTGTCGTCCCCCCCCGGGACCAGGCCCCGGGGCTCAGGGGCAGTTTGCACACCAGGGTTTGGCTCGGGATGAAAGCCAAGATCTCACAAGAAAGCAGACTTCTCGTAAGCCCCGACCGCAGCTCTCCCAGCCCACGCTGCCCTCCCTGCTCGGGGAGAGGCCTTCGTTGGGGACCCAGCCATTGCCCAGTGCAGGGGTCCCAGGGCCCATGCGGTGCTTGGGACTCGGACACGCTCCCTCCCGCAGCCCTGATGACGAGCGATGGGCGCTATGTGCTCAATGGGGACTGGTCCATCGCCTGGCCGGGGCAGTACGAAGCAGCCGGCACCCGGCTACGCTACACCCGGACCCCCGATGGCACCGAAAGCCTGGAGGCCCCTGGCCCCACCGATGAGGATCTGCAAGTGATGGTGAGGGCAGGGCTGGTGCAGGGACAGAGGTAGCCGTTCCCTGTCCCCCATCACTCCCCTTAGCTCTGCCCCTGCCTGTGCAGGTCCTACTGCAGGAGCCCAACCCTGGCATCGAGTACGAGTTCTGGCTTCCCCGTGGGCACCCGCATCCTGTCCATGGCAACTCCAGCCCCCTGCGGCAGCCCCAGCCCCGAGGGGCTGGCACCCCCCCACCCCAGGACCCCCCGGGACCCCCAGCTCTGCCGCCGCAGCCCCAGAGCTCTGCCACAGAGCCGCCACCGTGGAGCCCCCCTGGCTGGGCCGGGCTCCCTGCAGGTGCCTGCAGCCCCCCAAGCCCCGGGGCTCTCTGCTGTGCAGAGCATCCTGGAGAGCCCCAAGGATAGAAATGAGATGAGGGCCCCCGGCTTAACTCTCCCCCCTCTCAGGGGCTCCGTGTGCCCCCTCTTGCCTTATGGGGCCTTCAGTGCTCCCTCCCAGCACCGCAGGAGGGGGTTTTGTGGCCTCTGCGTCCCTTTTCCCCTCTAAACCGCTGCAGCTTTGCCCCTGCAGGGCGATGCGGGAGGTGCCGAACCCCCAAGGGCCGCTCCCAGCGCATCCGCCACTTCTGCCAGAGCGACTTCGGTGAGCGCCAGGGATGGGGAGGGAGGCTCTGAGGGGCAGGACATCGGTGGGGCGGGGGCCGTGCCCGGCTCAGGGTGCCCCACACCTCGCCCCGCAGCGTTCCGGGGCCGGATCCTGGCTCGGCGCTTGGTGGGGCAGGAAACGCGCTACGAGGTGGAGGTGACGGCTCCGTACCGGCAGCGCTCCCCGCTGCTGCGCCGGGAGTACCTGTGGGTACCCAACGCCTGCGGCTGCCCCCCGCTGCGGGAGGGGGCCGAGTACGTGCTGATGGCGAGGCGGCACGTCAACTACGAGCGCACCCTCAACCGCATCCTGCTGCAGGACGACGGCTACGCCCGGCCATGGACACCCCGCGAGGAGCGCCTGGTGCGGGAGGCGGCCCGGCACTGCCCCGAGCCCCGGCCGCCCTGAGCATCCCCCCCCCGTGGCCTTGGGGAGGGAGCAGCCGGGAGGACCCCGGGGGCTGGGGATGCTCTTGTCGTGCATCAAACCCTTCCCATGGCTGCGGAGGGGGCTGCAGGGACACCACCCCCCCCCCCCCCCCCCGGCTCCTGCTCGCTGTCCTTGGGGTGGATTTGGCTGGGGGGGGGGGGGGGTGATGGAGGAGGGTGGTAATTTATTTTATATGCAGAAAATAAAGGTCTGTGTCCCCTCGTGTGCTGCGTGCCCCTTGCTGGAAGCTGGCCCAGGGTGTCCCACACCACCCCCGAGCCGTGCCCCCACGCACCCGCTCAGCACCATGTCCCTGGTGCAGCGATGGACACCAGCCAGGCTCTGCCTCCCTGAGGTCGGGCCCTGCTGCTTTATCTCTCTTCCGGAGGAGGCGAGCGGGTCCCTCCCTGTGCCAGAGCCCCCTCGCTCGTAACCCAACCCACAGCCTGGCGGGTGCTCCCATGGGGCCCACGCAGGGATGGGAAGTGCTGGGGATGCTGTGGGAATGGTTGTGCTGGGCATGGGCCTGGGGGGTATCCCAGGGTGGGTGCCCTAAAGTGGCAGCTGCCAGGCCAGGAGGGTGTTTAGCACATCGGGTAATTCACCATCTGGCCCTGTGGTCAGCCAAGGCTCTGTACTGGGCTCCCTAGCTGGTCCCAGTAAAGCCTGAGTGATGTAGGTGTTCTGGAATGCAGGTGGAAGCACCTTGGGGTGATTAGGGCCTCAGAAAGGTGCCTCCACCCTATAAAAGCCCTCCTCCATGCTCTGTGGCTGGTTTGAGTTCTCTGGTTGTTCCAGCCATGGTGGGCTTGGGGACAGTTGCTCCAATGTGCAAAGGGAATCTGCAGGGAGAACAGCAGGGATCTGGGGTCTCAGCCCCTGTTGGGCCAAAGTGAGGTAGAGAGAAGAGGACTGGGAGTGTCTCACGTGCCCCCTTGGTGCCTGTGACCCCTGGGAAGCTGTATCTTGAAGGGGGACATTGTGGGGCTGGTGTCTGCTCCCCCCTGTCCTGGGGAAAGGGGTGAGTGTGTGCCCCCATATAGGGAAGGGGGGGCTGCCCTGAGTTGTGCTGACAGAGCCCCTGTGTCCCACAGAGCCTGCAAGCCCCCTCTTGCAGCCCTGCTGTAAGGGTGCCTGTTTCTCAGCTCCCTGTGGATGAGCCCCAGGCTCCTGAGACCCTGTTTAAGTACTAGAGGCTGTTGGTAACCAAGAACCAGAGTGCACCATGCTCTGCGTTGTAGGTCCAGGCTGTCCTCCCCAAGGCTCTGGCTGCCTCCGCTCTGACAGAAGCTGCATGGGCTCAGGGCTGGCCTGGTGCTGGAGGAGCTGGCTGCAGTCACTGGGGTGCAGCTGCTTGGACAGAAGTCACATCTCCTCCTCCCCATGGCCCCCTGTCCCTGGGAAAGGGCACAGGGCTCCCAGCCTCGCTGGAAATAGCTCCCTCGCAGCAGCGAGCCAGGTCCGGCCCCTCCGGATGGATCTGGTCCCTGGGGGGGATGAGCCAGGTAAGGAGGGACCCCACCACCTCTGTGTCTGCCAGCGGATGGAGCTGGACACGGGCTGGGATCAGCCCAAGCACAGGAAGGTCGCTGTTGGGACAGAGTTGTTCAGAAAGGCAACAACCAGTTTACTTCAGAAGCCAGGCGAGGGCAGCTCTGTCCCAGGGTGTTCGTGTCCGTGCAGCCCAGGCTGGTCTCACGCTGTCCTTCCAACCCAGCGACGGCAGGAGGTACCTTTCACAACGCAGAAGGCCACACGGTACGTGCCATAGAGGATGGCTGAGAGGAGCAGGCTGCTGCAGATGAGGACAGGGAGCAGGTCGCTCTGCAGCCCCTGCTCGGAGGGGAGGCCTGGAGAGGAGGAGCAGGAGCGTGCGAGCTCATCGAAGGTGCCGGCAGAGGGACAGGCAGTGCAGTTGTTGGCAGATGGCCCCTGGCACGTGTAGCACGAGGGGTGGCAGCTGGCACACACACGGGCTGTGCCTGCGTTCTGGCTGTAGTAGCGTGGGGGACAGTAGGACAGGCAGGAGCGCTGGTGGGCGAACAAGGAGCTGCCACACTCTGTGGAGGGAAGGTGGGTGAACCGGGCTGCGGGGCAAGAGCCCCGTCCCCTCCATGCTCACCTTTGCATGCTCCCTGTGCATCCCGCCTGATGCACTTGTCCGTGGTAGAGGCTGCAAGGCGCCGGGCTGACATGTCCTCAGCTGTGCCATAGAGGTGCAGGATGAAGCTGGTCAGGAAACCTGCGGGCAGGAGGGACAGGACTCTGTGCTGATGGTGGCTTGTCCCCACCCTCTAGCCTTTGGGATGTGCAAGCTGGTGGATGTGGGGCTGGAAGCTTTGGAGCTATGTGGGGGAGAGGAAGCTATGCTCCCTTCCTGGCTCTGTGGTGGCCAGAGGCTCCCGAAACAAACATGGTCCTGCAGAAAAAGAGGGCTCAGGTGCCCAGGAGGAGCAGGAAGAAGATGTCAACAAGTTGCTGAAGTGGAAGAAGGAAGGAGAAACAATGACCAAGCACTGCAGGACCCTGGAAAGCGGGGTTCACTCTTGCTGGGCACCCACCTGTGTTATAGGCATCGCCCTTGTTCTCGAGCTGAAGTGTCCAGGTCCCATTTGGGTTCTCGTCCCAGAAGTGCGTGGACATGAAGGTCCAGTCCTTGTAGCCCTGCTGGCTGGTGTCGTACGGGCTGGAGGAGAGGAGACCCGAGAGTGACAGCCCAGAAGCTGCAGGGAAGGAATGCAGCCCAAGGGGGAGCCTGCAGTCACCCTCTTCTTGGTATAAAGGGCATTGCCAAGACTTCATGGGGACCACAGAAGGGTTTTGAGCATGGAGGCCTGCTCCCTATGTGGGTCAGGAGTGGCCACTTGTGTAGGGGAATCTCCTGGCCCCAGGAGAGGCTGTGGGAGGAAGAGTCCCCTGTGCCCCACAGCAGCTGGCAAGTGTTAGTGCAGCGTGCTCCCTGTGATCTTGCAGAGTGCTCTTACCGCACGGTCACCAGTGTGGACGTGGTCCCCATCGGGCTGGTCAGGGTGATCTCCAGGTCCCCCCTGCGGCTGTAGCTCAGAGAGAGCTGGACCTGGACGTGCTCCAGGGAGCGGATGCGCTTGGTTCTCCCAGAGCAGAAAACATCTGTAGGGACGGTGAGCTTGGAGCCAATGTTCCTATCAAGTACAAGGTGGAGGTGAGGGCATCTCTTCTGCCTTCATGGGCCTCCTGCCCTCTATGCACAGCCCTGTGGTTACAGCAGAAGCTGTGCTGTAGCTACTGCTTTCTGGGAAGCAATGCCTGTTCCTGCAGCGGGCATGGCACAACTTTGCTATGAGAATGTCCCTGTATGTGTTTGTATGAGGCTGGACCCGGGGAATACCATCCCTTACCAGGGTCCGTGAAGAGCCTTGACTGAGCACCTCCGCTGAGGCTGAGTTCCTGTCCATGCCTTGGCCATCTCCACCAGCAGCCCAGCATCCAGGAGCCCGTAGCCGTAGTGGTGGCTCACTGAAGAGCAGATACCACCCAAGAGAGGATGTACGAGCCCCTCTGCACTGAGAGAGCGCTGGGGGCTCTTGGCCCAGGCCCGCTGGTGGGGGTTTGAGGGGCAGGGTGTCTGCCCACAGCCAGGCAAAGGAAGCAGGAGCAGGTAGGGCAGGCAGCAGCTGAGCCCTCAACTCACCCTTGCGTCCGGCCCCATTCGTAGCCCAGTCTTCTGCCTGCAGGTGAGCGGGTTTGGAGGTCCTGATGACAAGATGCTGCAGGTCACGCCAGGTCAGTGCTGGGCTGGAAGCAAGGAAGACTTGGGAACCAAAGGCTCTGCTTTGGGTTAGCTTTCAAGGGTGGGATTTGGCTCTTCAGACATGGATAAGTTAGCTGTCTGGGTCCAAGCTGATCCCCCCTGCACGAAAATCCTTCGCTGCCAAAATGGGAGCAAGAGAGACCTCCAGAGGACGCCTCTCCTCCTGCCTCTCCCTGCTCTCCAGCAGTGTCCCACCACGGGAAGATGTCCCCTCAGAGCCAGGGGAGACCTCAGCTCTGCACCCCCAAACCTCCCCGCTAGTGAAGTCCCCCTCCCTCGTCCCTGAAGGGTCCTGGCGAGGCACCAGATCCTCCCTGGGAACCCTCCCACTGCCACGACTTCACCTACTTGGCCTGCAGCGCGAGGGCAACGATTCCTGCAGCCAGTGGGGCTGAGGCAGAGGTGCCCGTGTGCTTGTCCGTGCAGCGGTGGTGCAGGTCCGTGGTTACCTGAGGGGAGAGAGGGGTCCCAGCACTGCTGCTGGAGCAGAGCACAGGACTGGATGGAGTTAACTTCAGTAAATGCTCCCTCTGGGTCCCTACATGGGTTTGGGGTCTAATGCAGACATCCTAATAAAGCCCCCGTCCTCCCTAGAGGGCTCAGATGAGCCCTCTCTGTGCTGGGAACTGGTGTCTGGCCAAGTGTCCCTGCTCTGGCACTCACAATCTGCACCTTGCTCGTGGTCCTGCTGCTGTAGGTGGTGGTGAGGATGGCAGAGCAACCCTCGCTGTACCAGGGCCTCTGGCCGCCAGCCAGAACGCTGCCCACTGACAGGGTGTAGATGCTGTTGGCGTACCCATCGCAGTTGCAGTTGTCATAGTTGATCCCACCGTTGCCAGAGGCCCAAATGAAGATGGAGCCGAGACCACCCCGTCCCTGGCAGGGGGGAGATAGAGGGGGATCAGCAGGGAGCCCTCACCCCAGCGAGGTTCCCAAGGCCAGCACCAGGCTTACTTTGCTGGCCCCTCTGTGGAAGGCTGCTGCAGCCAGCACGCCTGGCCCGTCCACGGTCTTCCCGTCATCCTTGGGGCCCCAGCTGGCACTGTAGATGTGGATGTGCTGGGAATGCAGGCTGAGGGACTGAGCCTCCACCATGTCTGTGATGGGGCCATCCAGCATCCGCACGCCTGCAGGGCCAGGGTGAGGAGCAGCAGTGTCAAAGAGGCAGCAGCGCATGGGAGGCGGGGTGGGCAGAAGCCTCGTGCATGCCACAGCAATGTAAGGGTTGAGAGACATCTCATCAACCCCACTTCATTCCCCCACCTCCCTGTTGCCTTGAACACCTTTATTGTGACGCTGCCCTAAGGAGATCAGGTTCCTGCAGGCTGGAAGCTGTTTCCCAGAGCTCCTTGTTAAGCCCTTTTCAATTAAGCTCTGTGAGTTCTCCCTTATAACCCCATTTGCCCTACTTGCTTCCACGGGGGAGCTTGTGGTGGGTGTTAAACCCCCTGGGAGTTGAGCCCCGTGACTGGGTGTGCAGTAACACCAGAGAACCATAGAATGGTTTGGGTTGGAAAGGACCTTAGGATCATCCAGTTCCAGCCCCTCTGCCATGGGCAGGGACACCTCAGCCTACACCGTTGCCTAAGATTCTGTCTAACCTGGCCTTGAGCACTGCCAGGGATGGAGCATTTAACCCCTTCTCTGGGCACCCTGTGCCAGCGCCTCAGCACCTTCACAGGGAAGAACTTCTGCCTTAGATCTGATCTGGACTTCCCCTGTTTCAGTCTGAACCCATCACCCCTTGTCCTATCGCTACAGCCCCTGACGAAGAGACCACAGCACCCTCTGCTTCCCAGCGAGAGCCTGGCTCCTCCCAGAGCAGCTCTGCCCGGGCCCATGCGTCCCTTCCCCGAGTGCCAGAGCAACCTTTGTGCATCCATGGCTCACCTCCAACGCTGGCCTTGTACGCAACGCCTGCTCCACAGAGCTGGTTGTTGGCTGCAGCTGCCACTTCTCCCGCACAGCGTGTTCCATGCCTGAGGGGCAGAGCTAGCCTCTGAGCCCTCCTCGGTGAGGGGCAAAGGGGGCCTGGGGCAGCCCTGGCCATGGAGAGATAAAGCACCCAGCACAGGGTGCTGGGCAGAACTCACCAGTTCTCTTCCCCGGTGCTGTACCTGGGCTGGGGATCAGGGTCATTGCTGTTGAAATCGTAACTTGCCAGAGGGTCCTGTTGCAGAAAGAGGGACGGGCATGAGCAAACTGCCTCTCTGTATGGGCTGTGACAGCCTGACACAGCTGCCTGGTGCTGTGCCCAGTGCCTGGCAGCGTGGATCACCCTGGGCCCTTCTCACCCAGCAACTGCACTGGGTTAACCTGGAGATGTTGGCAATGGGGCTCTGTTAAAGACACATAACTTTGTGCATTGCTCTGCTGCTTCATCATGTCCAAGCTCACGTTTGGTGAGGAAGCCTGGCATGGCCACTCACCCGAGGGCGAGCCTTACTGCCTGTGCCGTTAGGAGAGGAACTACAGGGCACTGAAATGGTGGTGTTATAAATGACAGGTGAGATTTACCCGTCCTCCCTTGGAGCACGTGAAGGTTTACCAGCTTTACTGCCTTTGCACTGGGGACAATGGGTCCAAGTTCTAGCTATGTGCAAAGTCACTGCAGGAGATGCCAAACCTTTTGATCCAGCCATGGAGAGGCTGAGCTCCCACTGCAGAGTCCCATGGGGGGGATGAAGGCACCCACCCACACATGCCCCAAAGGAGCCTGCGCTGCTCAGCCCCACGTAGTTACATAGTTGGCAGACAGGTCTGGATGATCCTTCTCGATGCCATCGTCCAGGATGGTCAGCACGACCCCCAGCCCCGTGTACCCTTTGCTCCAAGCAGTGAGGATGTTCAGGTCGGGATTAACGTCATTATTCTGGAAAACGGATTAAATCTGATCAGCCCCTGGGCTGCGGGTGACCTTCAAGGACAATTCTGCTGCTTCATCACTGCCAGCATCAGTCCTGTTTGTGCCGGGCTCTGTGTGTGTGTGATTTGCTTGAGGATTAGAAAGCAGCAAAATCTCACCATGTACCACTGCTTGTGGAACCAGGGATCTGTTGGCACCACACTGATGCTTCTCTTTGTGCGCCTCTTTACGCTTTGCTGCTCAAACCAGAGGACCTGGGCAGGAAGCAGCATTGGTGGTGTCAGGCAGAGCCTGCCCAGCACCAGAGCCTGGGCTCCTGCCGCTGCCTCCTCCCCTACCTTTGGCTCTTTTGCCAGGCGCATATTCCAGCCCCAGTGCCTGCTTAAGGCTTTCTGCCTCGTGCCTCGGTGTTTGAAATGGTAATAAGGCTCTCCCTCCATCACCTGCAGGCAAAAAGAGCTGTGGTAAGAGATCATGGCATCGCCTGGACCCGTGTGCTTGCTCTATATGGGCGGCAGGGACCGTAAAGAGGCGTTTGATGAGTTGTATGTGGCAGGACCAGCGGAGAGCATCACTGGGAACCAGGGCAGGTTTGCGGGGTGCCCTTTGGGTCTCCCCTCTCAGCGATGCACACACGGAGGCCATCGGCAATGCTCACCCCTACTGCACTCATCCTTTAAGCTGCGTCCGGGGGCCTAAAACCACCCGAGGGAGTAATCAGAAGCCCCGTTCTAACACTAAACCAGCGCCCGCTGCGGGCACACGGCGGGGATGAGCCGAGGGGACCAGCAGAAGAGGACGAGCGCAGTGGGGCTCGGTGGATAGGAGCACCCCGGCCCCCGCCTGCCCCATGGCTGCCGCCGCACCTGGCCCAGGCAGAGCAGCCCGTGCCGCCGGGCCAGGCCCTGGGCCCCCCTCGGCCCCGCTGCCACCCTCACGGCCCAGCTGCTCAGGTAGACGCGGGGCTCGGCGGAGCCCATCACCGCGGCCACCACCGCGGCCATCACCGCGGCCTCCAGCAGCCGCCTCGGCCCCGCCGCCATGGCGGCCGCAGGGGTTGTCATGGCGACAGCGCCGCCCCGCCCCGTCTGCCGCCGTCTCCGCGGCCTCGGACCAGCGCCGGTGGGGGTGAGACGGGACGGGACGGGACGGTCGAGACCGGAGCCGCCGCAGCCGCCATGGGCACGGTGCCGCAGCGCCTGCAGCGCTTCCTCGATGGGCCCGGGCCGCTCGGTGACCTCCTGGGCCGCCTGGAGGCCCGCACCGGCGTCCGGCGGCTCTACCTGGCTACAGGTGCGACCGCGATCCCCGGCCCGGCCCGTCCCGTCCCGTCCCCGCTCTCCCTGGCTCCGCTCCGGCGCTGCCCGCTCTGTTCCTGCCGGGTCTCCGAGGGTCCCTCACCGCGCCTCTGGACTCCGGGGTGGGGGGGGACGGGGGGCAAAGGACAGGGGCTGGGAGGGGGCCGGGGGTGCCCGTGTCCGTCTTTGCCTTCGGAACCCCCTGTGCCCCGCCGGGTGCCTCCTCTGCCCTTCTGCCTCCTGGTGCGGTTCCCCGGCCCTTTACCTGCTCGTGTTCCTGCGCCGAGGGGGAAAGGGGTCCATGGACCGCGTGCTGCCGTGGGCAGGTTGTGTGTGGGTGCAGTGCGGGGCGGACCCGCACCTTCTGAGCCCAGCAGTGCCTTTGGTTGTGCTTGGATGCGATGGGCTTCTAAGGGTAGGGGAAGAGCAGAGGCACCGCTTCCCCCAGAGTGATGGTCCCTTGTTCTCGGTCCCTGTCCTGGAAAGGAGAAGCTGCTGCTAAACTCAGAATATTGGATTTCTCCTTCCCCCCCCCCCCCCTCGTAGCGATTCCTAATTTGTGTTTGAACCCATTTGGAACCCAGTAGCACCCATGGGCTGCAGTCTGGAGTCCATCTCGCCTGACATCTGAGCAGCACAGCCAGGTCAGCCCTGCAGTGGCTTTGGCTGGGTGAAAATGATCCCGGAGGAGGAGGAGGAGGATAGTGTTCCCTTCCCTCACCCTCCTTGCTGCGGCAGGAACCATGGGACAAATCCAGCTGCCCCACTCAGCAGCTCTTCTTTGTAAGCAAAGCCTTTCACTTGGTTTTTTGCTTTCATATAAATGTATGTGGGGGCTAATTTAGCCCGTGAAACCCCTTCTAAGGCTCTTGGGGGAGACTGAAACCCAGTGCTGCCCGAACCTTCCTGCTGGTTTTCCTTGAAGGGAGGTTTGTGAGTGCTTCCAAAAGCCACATACATTGCTCCTACCTGTCTCCTGGGGAAGACCCAAAGCACCATTCATGCCCGGAGCCGCAGCCACTCCACAGCAGGGGCAAGAGCAAGGCACAGAAATGCTGTGGTGAGCAGAGCGAGGATAACCCATCCTGCAAGCCCGAGCAAGGGCTTTCCTCTAAGTCACAGCACAGAGAGGTTAAGTCCAGGCTTTCCTGCCTGCTTTGGGGCAAGGTGCTTACTTTGGCAGAGGAATTTGTACATAGGGTAGGGGAGACACTGCTGGGCTGTGACAGTCAGTGCCTTCGACTCTGCCTTGGTGTCCTCAGGCTGCTTTAGTGCTCTCTGACCATTCAGGGTCTCAGTGAACAGGAGCTCTTCACAGCACCATGATTTCAGGCTCCTTGCCCCAGCTCCCCCCATCCACCGGCTGCCTTCGGCAAGGGTCTGGGTGCTGGGCAGGCTCCAAATGACCCAAGCCTTGGCTTACATTTAACTTTGATAATTGAATTTAATCACAGGGAAGTGGGATTCGGTTGCTGCTCCTCAGGGACTGAATCCTCAACGAACAGTGGCTGCTCAGCACAAACACGTGCAGGAGATGCGTACAGGGAGCAGGAGACGCAGGCTCTGGCAGCAAGGCTGCTCCTGGGCACTTGGCTCCCATCATCAAGGCTTGTCCCTGACCAGTTGAACAGCTCCTACAAAATGCCAAGTGGTTTGAGCCCTGGCACGTGGTGGGGCAGCTCCATGCTTTGACTTTGGACTGTAGTTGTGTGTTAAAGTCTCTGCTCCTGATGGCTCTGCGGCCTTGGCTCGGGTCCACGCTGGTGACGGGTTGAAGGTGCTGCGAGTTTGTTGTGGTAAAGTCCCTTCCAGGCCAGGGAGGGGACAGGCAGTGACAGGTTCCGGGTTGTGGCTCCCTTGAGGGAGAGGGTGATACTGGAATTAACTGGGAGTGATTGTTATTCCCAACAGGAGGGTCCCGCATTCACCTCTTCTCACTCCTGGGATGAGAAACCTGCTCTGCAGACAGAGCTGGGGTCTCCTCTCGCCATCCTGGCACTGGCAGGTACATGACCACCCTCTCTGTGCCCTGGCAGGCTCTGCGGCGTTCCTGGGGCTGTACCTCGTGTTTGGCTACGGCGCTTCACTGCTCTGCAACCTCATTGGCTTCGCCTACCCTGCATACGTCTCGTAAGTCCCAGGGTCTGGAGAGCTTCCCCTGCCCTTAGCTGAGGGTCTCCCTGATAAATGAACAGGCGTTTACAGCTGGGAAGCTCTTGAGACCTTCCTGAACATGCTGGGGACTGGCACGAGCCCAGCTTGGGGCAGCAGCATCCAATAGGCAGGTCTGCTCCAGGGTTCAGAGGATTTGGGAAGGAAGTGCCCACCCCGGCAGCATGACTGCAGCAGCAATGCCCTTCCCATCTCCTGTCACAGCATCAAAGCCATCGAGAGCTCCAGCAAGGAGGATGACACCACGTGGCTGACGTACTGGGTGGTGTATGGCGTCTTCAGTGTAGCTGAGTTCTTCTCTGACATCTTCCTCTACTGGTTCCCCTTCTACTATGCTGGGAAGGTACCGGGGGCTGCTGGGGCCAGAGTCCTCTCACCCAAGGGCTAAACTTGGAGGAACCAAGCGTGGTGGGCTCTGTCCTGTTGGCAGGACAGTGGTGGTGGCTGTGGTGGGGCCACAGTGGGGCTGCAGTCCAACACAGAGCTCTCTGCAGCCAGCTGAGGTCCTGGCACCTCCATTGAGCAACTGCCTTTGGGCTGCCTGGGGGGAACTGGAGCAGCTCAGCTGCTGGCCTGCCACTGCTGCCATCCTTGGGGGCTGCCTTGCTCAGCCCTTGCCCTGCCATCATCCAGCTCTAGAGCATCTCTCCTCTCCGCAGTGCCTGTTCTTGCTGTGGTGCATGGCCCCCGTGCCCTGGAACGGGTCGCAGGTGCTCTACCAGAACATCATCCGGCCCTGGTTCCTCAGGCATCACCGCACCGTGGACAGTGTGCTGGGCAACCTCAGCACCAAAGCCCTGGACGCAGCCTCCAGTGTCACCAGAGAAGGTAACAGGGGTTGGTCACCCTGCTCCGTGTCTGGGGCAGGCGATTCCCCCCCCAGAGCACGGCCCAGCTCCTCTGGGATGCGAGCAGCTCTTATCTGCATGGCTGGCAAGCAGCCCTCTCTCTGATGCTGGGCTCGCAGCCCTGTCCTCCCGTGGCGGCAGGAGCCGAGCAGGGGTTGAGCTCTCCCCTCGCTGTAATTCTCTCTCTTCTCTCCGTGCCTCATGGTCCAGTCCTGCAGACTCTGATCAGCAGCAGAGCCCGGCTGACGGCCGAGGTGGCTCCACAGCTCACTTTGTCTGTATGTAAAGAGCCGCAGGTCCCGCTGCCGCTGCAGGGAGAAGGGGCCGCTCTGTGCCAGCCCTCCCAGCCCCTTGGCGGAACGGCTGCAGCCACGGTGGTGTTGGCGAGAGCTCCAGCGCTGCCAGGCTGTGGTGTGGCTGACACAGCCGTCCCCTTCTCCCTCAGCTCCTGTAGAGCAGGCGCTTTCCCTCCTGCTTCTCCGTAGCCAGCCCCCCCAAACCGCGTGTACCTTGCTTGGCCCCACCGTGCTGGTGACAACCTGGGGCTCCCATTCAACCCCCCAACCCCGGCGAGGGCAGGAGCGGGAGGGAATGGGGTGGCACCGCGTGTCTGGGGTGGGCTCGTCCCGGGGCACCGGTTGGTGGCCCTGACACCGTGCCTGTGTCCCCGGCAGCCTCCGGAGCAGCCCTGACCCTGGCGCGGGAAGCGGAGAAGAGGCAATGAGAGGCACCACGACCCCGACCGAGCCCCGAGCCCCACGGCTGTTGCCCCCCACCTCAATAAACCGCCGGGGGTCCCCGGTGCCCCCCGAGCCGCCTCTGCCCTGTGCTCCGTGAGGGCGGTGCCGAGGCCCCTTTAAGAGCCAAGGCGGGGACTGCGCGGGAGTGTGGCGTCACTCCGGGGGCGTGGCGGGATGAGGGCGCGGGCGGTGACGCTACGGTGGCCGGGAGGAGGGTGACGGGGCCGGCCGCGGCGGGGAGCGAGCGGCGGAGGGGTCGGTGTCCCCGTGTCCCCGTGTCCCCGTCCCCGTGTGTCCGTGTCCGTATCTCCGTCCCCCCGTCCGTCCGTGTCCCCGTGTCCGTGTCCCCGTGTGTCCGTGTCCCCGTGTCCCCGTCCCCATGTCCCCGTGTCCGTGTCCGTGTCCGTGTCCCCGTGTCCGTGTCCCTCCGTTCTGGGGGCAAGGCGGTGTCTGCCCGTCCCGGGGCAGGGAGGGGGGAGGCCGGTCTGTCTGTCCGTCTGTCCAACGACGAGGCACCGAGTGGGTCTGTGTGCCTGGGGTGGGGGGGGGAAGTCGATCTGTCCGGAGGGGTCTGTGTGTCTGTGCGGGGGCTCTGCCGGTCGAGGGGGGCAGTCTGTGTGTCCGTCCCCAGCGCACCACGGGGGGGAGGGGGGGGTGTCTGTCTGTCTGTCCGCTCATCCCGCCCCCCCCCCCCGACACCAGCCCCCGCGCATGAAGCGGCCTCGGGATGAGCGCTAAGGCCAAGCGGGTGCTGCCCACCCGGCCTGAGCCCCCCACCGTGGAGCAGATCCTGGCCGACGTGCGGGGCACCCACCCGGCAGACCCCGTCTTCCTGCTCCCCTCGGAGCCTCAGCGAGAGCACGGCCTGTGCCCAGGTGAGCCCGGGGGCGAGACAGCGACGGGACGGGACCGGGACCGGGACCGGGACCGGGACCGGGACGGGACTCGCGGACCGCTGCTGAGCATCCCCGCTCTGCCCCCCATCAGGCCCCGCTGCGGAGGAGAGGGAGCGGCTGTACCGGCAGAGCCGCTCCTACGTGGAGATGCACCAGTGGCTGGAGGAGTCCCGGGAGCGGCTGCGGGAGCAGCGCCAGGAGCTGCAGCGGGCGGGCGCGGCGCTGGAGCGCGGCATTGCCGACATGAGGCAGAAAGCGCTTTGAGGAGCTGCTGCTCCCGCTGCTGCAGCATCGCCCTAGGCCTCGGCACGTCGCATCCTCGCAGTTGCTGTCTACCTAATAGGGGAGAAGGGAATTTGGTTTACGGGAGAATCTGGCCTCGCTGTGCACAAAGGGCCGGAGCTTTGCCCCCCTTTGCACCCCCACTGCCCCTGCCGGTTCCTGGTGCAGGAGGAAAGGCTCGGACCTTGCGTTGTCCCTGCTGCCCATGAGCTCGATGCCCTTGTCCCCAGAGGGTGGCACGTCCCCTGCGCCCTCGTGCTGTGGCTTCACCTATGACTTTTCCCTCTGGTACTGCCCTGAAGATGACCACATCGCCTCCCGCATCTCGGAGTGCTTGAAGAAAGAAGGTTTTCGGGGCTATGCAGAGCACCAGGACCACGTGGCCGGGAAGCCCGTCATCCTGACTGCCACGAAGGTCATCGAGGCCAGCCGGGTGGCCATCCTCCTCCTCTCTGCCAAGTCCCTGGGGGACCCGTGGTGCCAGCGGGTTTCCCAGTGGAACCTGTGTCACATCATTCAGTGCCACGGGACCAAAGTGATCCCCGTGTGTGTGGGTGTGAAGAAAGCCGAGGTGCCCCCCTTCCTGCAGCACCTCACTGAGCTCGAGTACCAGAACGAGTTCTTCTTTGACAGGCTTGTGAACAGCCTGAGAACATCCTGCTTGGCAGCACGAAGAGCCCGGCGAGCCCTGTCCTCCAAAGAGAAGAGGTGAAGGACCACAGGTGACTGAGGGCTGTTTTGCAGCCTATTTGGGAGCTGATGGCCCTGCAGCGGTGGTGGTAGAAGCAGGGTTGTCCTGTACTGATAGTAAAGGTGGTGGGAACAGGGATTGTCACAAATCTCATTAAAAACCCTTCTCCAAGGACTGAAGATGTGACTTCCTGCCTGCCCTGTTTCACTTGGTGGCTGGGGGGTAAAGTCACCATAACACCCCACAGGGTGGCTGTCTGCCTTAGCAGGAGTCTGTGTCCCGTTACCACCGTGCGCAAGAAATGGACCCAGAAAACGCTGGGGGGAGGCTGTGCTTCTCCCCACCCCAAGTGTGTGGGACAGACAGACCAGCCCTTCCTATTTACACAGGTTGGCTTTTAATTGTTAATACTGTCCAGAGTCCCAGTAAGATAACATCCTTAGTACATACATACAGCGAAGGAGGGAGCAGGCTGCCGCAGAACCTGGTGGGATTGTCCGCAGAGGGCTGAAGTCAACGCGCATGTGTGGAGCAGAGGTGGGCAAGAGTGGGGCTGGGTGGTGGGGCTTGAACTTGGGGCTGCTGCCGAGTACATGGGGCGATGCTAGTCCTCCCAGCACATCTGATGCTCGGTTATGGCACTCAGGAGTGCCCCAGGGGACTTTGTCTCCTTTCCTTCAGTGCCAGCCCTGGGTCCCACTGGCTGCAGCGTCCCAGCCACTGCTGGAACAGAGGTCTCCAGCCAGCACCGGGGTCTGCACATCCCCGTGACCCTGGTGCACATCCCCGGGGAGCCCATGGGTGTCCCCACAGCCCTGGTGTCTCCCTGGGCTCAGTGCATATCCCTGTGGCCCCACTGCGTGTCCCCGCAACCCCTGCGCAAGTCCCAAGAGCCCCTCACTATGTCCCCCATGGCCCTTGGGTGATCCCCGTGTCCTCCGCACATGTCCCCATAGTCCTGTGTCTGCCCCCCATGGCACTGCTATGTGGGGATGCCATAGGTCATCCACAGCAGGCAACAAGCTATAGGGAGCACCCAGGGTGGGTGGTGTGCTCACCAGCAGCTCTCAGTCCCATCCCATCCACTCCCTGGGGTCAAGGTGCTTCCTGCATCTCCCAGTCTCGGCACATGAGGCTGACAGCAGGAGCGGGGGGTTCCCTGATGCTTTGGGGCTGGGAGCCCCCATGCTCATGGGCATGATCCACTCCCGGATGGACTCGTGTCCACGGTGCATGGGGACACCCTGGCTGCAGGCTGGGATGGGACTGGGGTGCTGCAGATGAGGGTGAGGGGCCCTGGACCCTTCCCTAGGGGTTGGGCACCCTGGCACCAGTTCAGCACCGCTTCCCCTTCCAGGGCAGCTCCCAGCCTGCAAGAAACCCTGCAAGCAGCCTCCAGGGACGAGCCCATCAAGACCCCATTATCCACCAGCAAGCCCCTTCCTGACTCCTCCTGTGCCTCTTCCATCCAACACTGCTGTGAACAAGTGCAAGCACCATGGCTGCAGGTTACCCATCAGCAATCAGCCACGGCCCTTATTTAGGACCCTCCAGCAGCACCAACAGTGGGGCTCTGGCCCCCATCTCCCCACAGCCATGAGCTCTTCCCCTGTGAAGCCTCTCCAGCCATGTGTTCCCTCCCCACTGGGTAATAAATGAGCTGATTGCTGGCAGAGCAGGGTGTTGGTGGCGATACAAGCAGAAGCACGGTGTGCCACCCTCCTGGTGTGCAGGCTCAGGTCCTGGTTCAGCCTCTGCCCAAGGCAGGTGAGCAGGATGAGGGCATGGCTTCTCCCTCAGCTTGTTCCAGGGTGTCCAACAGTGGGAGGAGGTGGCCACTGAGACTCACCCTGGGTTGAGCATCAGCCCCATCCCAGCACCCAGCAGGTCCCCCTGGCTCTGCTTGGTCCTCAGCACCGAGAACTGCGATGCTCTGGTACAGCAAGACCCCAGACAGGGCAGGCAGCGGATTGGGGTGGCTTCTGGTTCCCAAGCATCCCATGCTGCTGTGTCTCCACCCCAGCACAGTTCTGGCTGGCTCCCATGGGACAGGGTGTCATGGGACCCATGCTGGGGCTGCTCAAGCTTGGATTTTCTCCACCCCCTTGTCAGCCACCGCTGTCACCGCCATGGGGCTGGGGACGTAGTTGAAGGGGGTGACGCGGGCGGCTTTGCTTGGGGAGCCATGTCGGCTGGTGGGGAAGGTACCAGCGGGTGCCTCGTGGCTGAAGGAGATGGGCAGCGTGGCCTTGGGTGGGACCAGAGCTTCGCCATCGCAGGTGGCACGGGTGTGCGGGGGCCCCTCACGGGTCTCCAGGGTGGGAGAGGTGCTGGAGTTGGTCTTGGTGGTGGAGAAGTCCTCAGTCTGCACCACGGCATCACTGGTCTTCCTGGGGCTGGGGCTGCTGGGGCGCTCCTCCTCGCCAGCCCCCGCCAGCGGCAGGGCCGAGGAGGGCAGCGTGCTCTTGAGGATGTGCGGGATGTCCTCGTCCCGAATCCTCCGCCACGTGCCCTTCATCACCACCACCGGCGGCTTCGCTGGCTGCTCGCCGGGTGCTGCCTCAGGCTGCCGCCGCTGCCGCGCTGAAGCCTCGGAACGGGCCGAGAGGACGGAGGAAGGGCTGCCCGTCCTCCGCGCCACGCTGATGTTGGGCGAGGACGAGTACCTCTTGAAGGGCTCGGGCGCAGGGATGCTGGTCTTCACCGGCAGGCGGGACGGGCTCTCGGAGCTGGTCCTCCGCGGTGGCTTTACCCCGGTGGGGACTTTGCTGCCGAGCTGGGCTCTGGGCACGAGGGGCCGTGGACTGGAGGCCGCCGGCTTGGCTGCCTTGAGCTCGTCACAGCGGGAGGAGCAGAGGAAGACGGCCGGGAGCGTGTCCCGGCTGCGCTGCGGGGAGGCAGCGCGGGGCTGCGCTGGGGAGAGCTCGGCGCGGTGCCGCAGCAGCAGGCTGGAGGACTCCTTGATGAAGGTGAGCTGGCGCAGGAAACCGGAGCGGTCCGAGTCGCTGCCGCTGGAACGGGTGGACGACATCCGCACCAGGTTGAGCCGGCCCCCCGCCGGCCCCGCCGCTCTGCTGCCCCGCGCCTTTCCACCGTCAACCTGCTCCTCCAGCACCGGCATCGCCCCCCGGCCCGGCAGCGCCTTCCTGCTGGGCTTCTGCATGAAGGGGATGCGGACGGGTGACTTCTGCGTCTTGGACGGC